TTTTAAAGAAATTTATGAAAAACCAAGACTGATCATATGGACTATGCAAAGGCCATATAGACATTATCAGTCATAAGTGTTGTGTTCCCACAATCAGAATAAACTTCTTATCAACCTGTTGGGGGAACTTTGGCACCCTCCAGACAGTTTTTATCAATTGTATCAGTAACCAATGAATCGCCAACAAAATGCAAGACACCAGAAGTGACATTGAGTATAGTATCCAGATTCTTAGGATTCTCTGTTCCAGAACCACTCTGCATCTCATACTCGAGGAGCGGCCCGTTGGTTCACCAAAGCCCGACCCAGTGTCGGACATTCTCCAAAAGGTAAAGGTTCTATCATCTTGTCCATATAGTCAAGGTACTCAACTGTAGTCTTTGGACGGAAGTCCCTCCATTTTGTCCCAGAATCTAAGGAACTTTGAATAAACATAAGCAAGATATAATTTGAAAGAGACTCTGTGGCCTAAGAGACTTAGAAAGAGACATAATCTGAAATGCTTTAATGATTAATAAGAATGCAATCTAAGATAATTTTGGAAAGTGGATGAAAGAAATGAAGCTCATTAACTAAAACATGCACAAGAAAATTCAGCTCTTATCAACAGTTTACCTTCTTTTAACTCCCCATCGCGTGTACTTGTGCAATCCACTTGAATTTGTAATATTCTATTCCAGATGTTAACAAATTTCAATTTAACACTTGGCCTGAAGAGAAAAATATCAGGTCGTGTGAGTTACTAAAATATTTGATTGAGATAATATCAGAAAGAGACCCCACCCTCTCAAGAAATTTGATAGCATTACCTTTCATTAGAGAACACACCCTTACCACATTTCGGGTGGAAGATTGAGCACATTGATGGAATGAGTGAGTGGAAGCTCCCAGCAGATAGCTTCTGTAGAATGATGTAGTCCCCTTGCAGCTCTAGATTCTGCACGATGGAAAAGAACATTAATTAGTTGCTCATATTTTCTGTCATAGTTGATTATTAACACAAAAAACGCACTCGAGGAGAAATTACCTGGCATATAAGCACATCATGAACAATTTAAATATTGTTATTTCCTGCTGCCGTTCTTGAAGACTCACTTGTGGCAAAGAACTTCTTCTTGTCTTGGTAAAATGGAGGAGCTGAATGGCTTCTTCTACTCTTTCTTCTTCCTTATAAGCTCATCTATTTTACCTCGATTTCCAGCATCAATCCATTTGTGCGAGTCCCCATCCACCCTAGAAGAGAGCATAGCTCGTGGTGGCAAATAATTTTAAGATTCTCTTCATCATGAGAAAGCATATGTGTCAAATCATATCTATCATAATAGAATTCAGAAGGACCTGAACTATAAACATCCCACGGATCCAGTCCCCTATACCGGCCATGCCAGTTTGCCCAATTACAAGTAAAACTGCAAAACAAAAAAATTGAAGAACACCCGTAAAAAGATACTAACAAACACAAACCGTCAAACAACCTATCAGTTGAGGAACGCATGCAGCCGTATAGACTACGACAACCATTCCAAGTTACGAACATAATCGTTGTCAGTCCAATATTTTGCAAAATGATTACCATATCATTCTCTCCTCAGCATCTGTCCATCTCGTGAGACACCAGATCCTTCAAAAGAAAGTACCAACTTCAGGTGATGAAGCAAAATAATAAATTGAGCAGAATTTTATACATATCTAAATGCATTTAGATCAACGTCAAAGAAACTAATAGATACCATTGTCATCCACCTTAACAATTCAGGTCCCAATGTCAACAGCAACAGATACCTGGTTGAAAATGGAAACTGGGTTAAAGTTCAACTTAGGAGTACACAAATTATAAGAACAACGAACATAAAAAGAGCAGTCCTACAAGGGGAGTAAATCTCATGGAGAAAACAAAGTGCTGTTATAAGAATATTCATTTGTTAAAAAAAAATGCTTTGATACTAGAATCGAGCATCATACTAAGAGGAGAAGAAGAATATCAATTTTCATATAAAGCATATCCCCTTGTAATCAGAGGTAGCAAAAATAGAAACATACGAATCCATTGAAGAGCCTCACTGACATTAACAAAATCAGAAAACATAAAAAACATAAAACACGCCCACTCTCTTACATGACACAATTTACAACTTATAAGAAACAATTAAAATCAGAAAGTCTAGAGCATGTTTATTTCAAAGATGAAAATAAGTCTAGACCATGTAAAAGAAAATGACCACTGAGGGTGTTCTGTCCAATCGAGTGTCTTCATTCAAAATACTACAAATCATTTCTTATAATTAAACTACTTATTTTTTAAGAATTGTAACAGTGGAGCCTTCAACAAGAAAAACTCCACATTTTCCCATTCAATGGCTTCATAATTCAGTTATAATTAAACCAAAAACAACAACAAGAGTATCTATCATGATTTATGATTTCATGATTCAATTATATAAAAAGGTTCACCTCTATGTGACTATCACTTTTATCTTTGACAATGAAAGGAAGGCCA